CCAACCTGTAGTGGAGGTGGGTAAACCCCTTTGATTTCGTCCCGTGGGGCATCGTGGTTGTTCTGGGGGGGGGGGGGGGGTATCGGTGCTGGGGGCATGGGGGGGTCGTTGGCCCGGGGCAATGGCACTCAACTGGGGAGATGGCTTTGGTGGTTCTGAGCGTTGACCTCTGCTGGCTGCATGCAGGCTTCTGGGCGGTCTGTGCCGGCAGGCGCAGGTTGCTGGCCTGGTGGCCTGGCTGCTCCTAGTTGGGTTTGGGGTGGGCATGGGTTCGGGGTTCTGGGGGAGTGTCGCTCCCGGGCTGGGGTCCCGGCTTGATCCGGGTGTCTCGGGTCTTGGCGGGTATGTTGTCGGGGTCTTGGGCTGGTGCATGCGCCGGTGCCCGGCCCTGGCCTGGGGGCCCTTGGTGCGCTGGTGGGCTTTGGGGCCTCTGCCATGGGGGAGGGGGAGGATGGGGGGGGTGGACTCAGCCTGGGTGTCTTCCTGCCTGGCTGTGGCTGCGGTCTGGTGCTTGGCTGGGGGTCTGGGCTGTGTGTGTGTGTGTGTGTGGGGGGGGTTTGCTCGGGGGGGTCTGCACTGCTGGCCCGGGGGTGTCTGGGCGTGTTCTTTCCCTTGCATGGGGTGCTCTCATTGTAGGTGTTGCTGTGGTGGACTTGTCGGTCCTTTTGTGGGGGTGCGCTCTCGGTCATCGTGGTGCACTGTCTGCGGGTGTTCGGGCACTCCTGGCTGATTGTCGCTGCTGGAGTTTGGTGGCTTCTTTGGTTGGGGGGCTGGGTTTTAAGCTGGGGATCGGGTTCGGGGTCTGGACGATCTCAGGGGGGGCTTGGGTCGCTGGCCCAGGTTCTGATCGGTCTTAGGGGTTATGTGCTGGTCCGTGGCCTCAGTCCCTTGTGGTGCGGCTGCCTCCTGCTCCTGGATGCATGCACTGGAGCCTCCCTCTCCTGGTAGATCTCAGAGAATGGGGGTGCCTATTGGGGTCAGTGGGGGAGCTGGCCCCCTGGGAGGGCATTGCCACCTCAGTTGTTTCTCCCCATCCCGACGTCTTCCTCCACCCACTCCATCACAACATCACTCAAGCAGGGCCTTGGGTTTCAGGTGCACTACTGAGCTGCGGGGAGATCTTCCATCTCCATGGTTCATGGAGACCTGGGCCCCAATTTTATCAAACAACCTAGACACTCGCATATAACATTCTCATGACACATGCATATATATGGTCTGGAGTGGGCACACGGTGGCATATAGGGGGTGGGATGTGTAATCATTCTCACCTCCGGGACCTGTGCCCACTCTCATATGTAGCATGTAGACATTTAAGGTTCTGGGCAAGGGTTGGGGAGGTGAACGGGCACTGCCTGCTCTCTGGGGAGGGGCTGGGTCTGTGCCAGTCGCTGCCTCATCCCCCCCCCATTTTAAACGCACTGTATAACAACATGCATCAACATCCTATTTGAGTGGGCGATGGAGGAGTTGGGTCTTCCAGTATTCCTTAAACCCTCATTCTCCGTCTGAAATTTGGGGTCAGGGGCAGGGGGGTGGTAGGCTGCCTGGTTGGGGTCTGTGCTGTGGGTGGGTATTGGGCCTTTGGGGGTGATTGGGGGTGGGGCTGGTGCTCTGGTTTTCCCTGGATTGTTTGGATCCCTTGATCGGGGTTCCTAGTTCCGATGGTCAGCCCTTTGGCTGGGGTAGATGCCGGGTTCTGGTGGGAGGTCGGCCGTGGTTGTGTCTGTGTGGTCATTGGTAGTGCGTGGCGGCGGTCGGGGGAGTGGCTTTACTTCGACGGAGTGCTGGCTGGTCGGCCTGATGTGACATTCACGGTGCGGGGTGCTGTGTGTGTGAGGGGGTGGGGTAGTGTATGGGTGGCATGACAGGGCTTCTCCGGGCCTATGGTACGGGGTTTTAGGGATGCATTGGTGCACTGGGCCTACCTTCCTCAGCTGCTGCTCCCTGCTGGCCGGCTTGCGGTCACTGTTGGGCGGGTGGGGCGCATGGACGGCCTGACAGAGGCTCTCGTGTGCCTGTTTGTTTCAGGTTAGGTTTTGGGTGGCCCCCCTCTCTTGGATCAGTTTTGTCCCCCCATTTGGTGGATCGTGCTCCCCACCGGTGGTGGGCCCTCTGCCACCGGTGCATTGGCAGCTCTCAGCAGCTGGGGCTGGGTGGTGGTGTGTGTGCGGGCCCGCTCTGGTGGCTGCCTGCAGGGGCCTCAGTGCCATGGCTCTGTTGGGCCTCTGTTGTGGGGTGGTATGACCTCGGGACTCGGGGCTTGGTGTCCATGGCCAGATCCACTCTGGAGGGGTGGGTTGCCGGTGGGACGTGTTGACTCGTCACTACGGCCTCCTGGGGGTTTCTGCATTGTGGTTGCTGGGGATCGCCCTGGGATTCCCTTTGCTTCTCCCTCTGGGGGGTGCCGTTGTCCCAGATGGGGGACTACCGGAGTTCTGGGCTTGGGGACCGCTGTGTGTCTGTGGTTCCAGGCCTTCCCTGTGTTACCTTCATGTCCTGTGGGGACGGGTTTATGGGTCCCTACATCCACTATTGAACATTATTATGGAGAAACCTTATAGTGACAAGCATGCTCACACGGGTGTTTAGATTCAGGTGTTTATCAGATACACACTCAGTTGGATTGTGGTGGCCATCAAATGTATATTGTATTACCATGTACTGTATAAAATACTTTATAATGATGTTATAAGTATCATTTTACAAGTTGTTTGTTGTTGTGGTTTATTGGTTTTGTCGTTCTTTTTCTTTCCGCAGGTCTAGAGGCAGACTTGAATGATGTTGATTTGTGTTCTTTTTATCCCTCTCTCTCTCCTCTATTCCTATCTCCTTCTTTACATTTTAACTCTTCTCTCACTTTTCTGCTTCGTTATCTTCTTTGTTTTCCGTCCCCATGTCCATTACATCTGGAACAAACCCAAAGCATATTCTGTAACGATTGCGGTGTACCCAGAATGAAAGACCAGAAACTGAACAGAGACCAGGACTCAAAGAATAAATTAAAGTGTTTATTTACAGGTTGGTGATATATACAATATGAATGAGGGGAACGGGAACACCTGGAGAGAGAGTGATGATTTAGAGGGCTGCGGTTGAATGGGAATATATCTTGTATATATTTTCTTACGGTATGAAGCAGGTGAAGGTATTATCCTGAAGATG